GGAGTTTGAACCCCCCGAGCCATTGGTCCACACATCTCTCTAATAATATCAGCAATTTGGTCCTTACGGACCATATTTTGTGCCTGTTGAACCACTACTGGAGGAACAAACACAGGATTTGGTGGACAACCTTGTGCTTGTGGTCCTCTTGGCCCATAAGGTGGTATATTTGGGACTGGTTGTCCCTGTGGTGCCGGTTGCTATTGGGGGTGTGGGTAACCCCTTTGAGCCTGTCCTGCAAAAGGACCTGCGAAAGGTGCTGGAACAGGTGTTGTGTCTTTTCCATTTGTAGGAAAACCTTCCAACCCCCCGGGTTTAAATTCGAATAAGGGATTAGTGAACCCCCTTGTGCCAAGTATGGCTTCGAACATGGGATTTGGAACCATTCTTATGTCATTTTCTTGTCCTGGGCCAAATCCACCAATTTGCATGGCGTCACTGTTAAATACTGAGGCATTTTGACCTGCTATAGGCCTCGAAATAGGTTCATACCAAGATTGAGGTGATGGTCTTTCATGGTTTTGACTACTAGTTTGGCCATTAGAATGTCCATTAATTTGCACAGGTTGTTTATCTCTACCCAATCTTTACTGAGGGACATTTGAAACTTCCTCCATGTGTCTTGTATTTGTTGGTTGATGGGTATTCATTCGATCCAAAAATGATGTTGTCTATCTCTCCATTGTGTTCATTAACTGTTGTCCCATGGCATCTACTAGGCCTCCCCACGGATTCATTGGCTGAGTAGATGGAACAGTGGATGGTTCAATTCCATGGCCTCGTCCAATATTATGAACATGTGGTACTTGTTCCGAAGTACTGGTCTGTTCGATCATAGGTTCTGATAAAATAGGTGTTTCCACAGGATGTGTTTATCACATTATCCTCTGGATTAGGTATTTCTAGCTCTCCTTCCACGCCTTCTTCCAAGCGTTCATTCTCTCATTCTCTCTTACGTCTAGCCATTTCAATTAGTCCCACTGGGCGTGCCAAAAATATATGTTGACTTTTTGGCTTTCGAAAGTGATTATTGTAATTATGAGCGTGCTAGCAAGGATCAATCAGTCCTTACAGAAAATTAATTGCTAACCAATTATCAGACGATTGTGTTTTAGTTCTTTCAGGTTCAATGAAGAGGACTTTTACTGGTGGCTTGATTTAGAAGAATTAAGCAAATGACAATCAAATGAAGAGCAATTGAAGCATTTCATTAAAATGAAAACTTACAATGATCCAATTCAGTCTCGTAGAGGTTTACAACAATAATCTACTTGAAACTACTCCTATGAACGAAGTGCAGTGCAGGAATTAAAGTACAGAAATGTAAAGAACAGAAAATGTAAAAATTGGAAAGAAAAATGAAGTAGAATAAAACTGGTTTTTTTTTATCTGAGTCTGGGGTTTTTTCTGGAGCCTTCTCTGCTATTTATACTTCTCAAGGATGACCATCGAACTGCACTTTCAACCGTCGAATTGCTCCTCCATGATTGCTGATCATGTTGCCTTATAATTAGCTCCATTTATGCCATCACTTGCAGTTAGGCTTCCCTCTTAATTTTGAATTCAAATGTGAGTAACCGTTGAGGCCACATCACTTTGCATCTCTTTGTTGATTCAGTACTACGCAGATCTTATGAAAACCAATATTAACTGTCACGTGTATGATCACGATCGAAGATTTGAGTTATCTTCCCATTTTACCCTCAATCTGTCACGTGTTGAATTGTAATTGGCTTATACGAAATATGTAGCCAACAAAAATACTTTTATGTATTTAGCTCAGTGTACTGCAACTTTTTATGTCACAATTTTGTGTATTTAGCATTTTTGTGGCACAAATGTTAACAATTATATTTTATAGAGCTGCGGCTATTACCTTCCAAATCTCGTGTCACCCCAACATTACTCTTAAAAATAAAATTTAACTGTGTCCACATTTTATCAAGTGGATTATATAGGTGGAGTTGGATTTGTAAAATCTATCACGTCACTTTATTTTAGTAATTTTTAAATTCTTCATCTTATTTTAAATATAGATTATTTATAAAAAAAATTAAATTAATTTAATAATTATAGTCACAATTTTATCATATTTAACTTAAAAAGTAGATGATTTATTTTTTAAAAATAATACTTCTTATTCAAAAAATATGATAAAATTAAATAAATATAATTATTAATTTAATTTAATTTTAAAAAAAATAAAAAAATATAAATGATTTAAACCTATAGAATGAGACTTATAATAATTTCACGGGCTCAGTCACCTATACGTTCCAGTCCACTTGCACAAGCCCAAGTCCTAAAAATAGGTATACCACATCCATTATGGATGACACATATTCCGTGGGAAAACTAATTCTGGTCCAAGCAAGTCCCCATTCCAAAACAATAAATTTTTCCATATTCAAACCCACGCCATGAAATCGATGTCACAATTTGTTTCGTTGCAATCAAAACAAAAATATTTTATTAAAATTTTAATCAAACACGAGTGTGTGTGACCTATTACCGTTATGTGATAAGTTGTATCAAAATTTTGGTACCATTATTAAAAGGAAAAAAATATTTTGTCACAATTTATTTCCTTGCAATCAAAATAAAAATATTATAAATTTTATTAAAATTTTAATCAAACACGAGTGTGGGTCTCACATATACATCTCATACCTACATGATAAGTTGTGTCAAAATTTTGATATCATTATTAAAACGAAAACATTATTTGGTTAATCTATGTCAGGTAGTCTAGGACATGACATGACTATATATCTCACCAATCACAAATTATTATAACTTTTTTTATTTTCAATTACTCAACATAAAATTATAAATTTCACTTTGATTCACGTGTCTTAAAGTCATCAAATAAAATAACTAAGGCTTAGTTAGTAAAATTTTTGTTAGGCTTAGATCGACAGTGCCTTAACTAAAATCTTACCAAACAACATAATAATCAAGTAATTGTGTTGAGTTGAGGTTCTTTGCCTTTAAAGTTCAAGGACTTCCTTGGAGTAAAAATAATGACAAAACAAATAAGAAAAAGAGAAAAAAAAAAAGAACAAGATGATGATGTAAATGATTGAATAAATAATCAAATACAAGTAAAGTACATTAAGACTACTCCTATGTAGATCGGATTTATTCCTAGGATAGAAAAGAAATGAAAATCAAGTCATGTATTGATTTCTTGGTGATGTTTTACAATAGGGTTATTAATGGCAATTTATAAAAATAAATGTAGGAAAAAACTTTTATTAACCATCATCTAACCACTCATATAAATTTCATCTTCTTACATTACCACTTGTCTTCCATCCATTGAATTTTCAAAACTTAACTTAGGGGTGATTTAGAATGTTTTAAATAAGTGTACTTTTTGACTTTTTAGTGAAAAAGTACAGAAAAAAAAAAGTGTGTTTAGGATAACTTTTTGATTTTTTACGAAAAAATGTGTAATAAAATATTGTAAGAACTACCAAAATTACTCTTTTACCCTTCCTTCCTGATACAGTAGCAGGAAGAGTGATTTCTGTGCATGTTGTTTACTGGATCATGGGTTTTCGCGGCTCCCATTGTGCTACGTAATTGCACGATCGGAAATGCAGTGGACTGTAGTGTTGTGTTTTCTTTTCTTTTTTTTTGTTTTTTTTTCTTACCCCACTTTGGATAGGTAACTGTTGTTGTGAAATTTGTCACGACTCAAACTCGGTACCCAAAGGTCCAACGTCGTAACAAGACAATATAAATAAAATAATTCTAAAATTTCTGTAATAGTAGTAATAGTAGTAGCAACGCAATAAAATAATTCTAAAATTTCTGTAATAGTAGTAATAGTAGTAGCAACGCAAGCGAGTAAATTAAATAAATTAAAATGAAATAACTAGGTACGAAAAAGTTTTTAAAAAAGAAGAAGAAAAAATTTACAACAAATTTGGGATTTAAAGACGAAACAAATTTGTCCCAAAATGTATATATTTTGTCACTCAAACTAATTACGACGAAAATTTTTCGTCACTCATTTTGTCGCCAAAGCGTCGTCGCTAAAGGGTCTTAGAGACGAAAAAACAAATTCGTCATTGAAAATGATAAATTTGTGACGAATTTTTTTGTCTCTAATACACTATGTTGGAAACATACTTGTAAGTAATTAGCCACAAAATATTTTGTCATCAAAGGAAGAAATTAGAGACAAAAGTATTTTGTCATAAATATAAAAAATGGAGACGAAATAATTTTGTCACGTTTAATATAAACAAAAACGAAATTTTTTTGTCAAAGAAGCTACCAATAGAGACAAAAACAAATTCATCATTAAAAATGACAAACTTGTGATGAATTTTTTTGTCTCCAATACACTCTATTGGAAACATACTTGTAAGTAATTAGCGACAAAATATTTTGTCATTAAAGAAAAAAATTAGAGACGAAAGTATTTTGTCATAAATATAAGAAATAGAGACGAAATAATTTTGTCATATTTAATATAAACGAAGATAAAAAAAAAAATTGTCAAAATTATCAATAGAGACAAAAACAAATTTATCATTAAAAATGACAAAATAATGTTAAAAAAAATCGTCACACATTGAGGATAATAGTGACAAAATATGACTATTTTTCGTCATAACAAATTTATTTAGTAACGAAATAAAGAATTCATGACAAAATTAATCTTCCACCTAAGCCAAATATGAGACGAAAAAACCTTCTATAGGGATTGAAAATTTTGTCACTAATTCCATATTGTATACCTATTTTATCAAAATCTGAATTTTAATTCAACAAATATAACCCTGTTCATGTTGAAACCTGTTGAATATAACAATTCCATGCACAACTTAACCTAACCTGTCATCAACACATTTACAAATTAACAAAATGAAAATATCCATTCATCATTACAAATAATTTCATTTTAATACAATAAAATAGTGCAATATCCACAAAATATCCATAAGTTATAACTTGTACAATTCTATCAAACATCCAACAATAACTAGTGAAACTCCACAAAATATGTGTATCCTTATCAAACAAAATGAACATTCAAGCAAATTATATCATAACATCCAAATAAAGACAAAGTAGTCAACGCAAACTTCATAACATCCAAATAAAACAACTAATAAATCCAACAGCAAGCATTCCACTATCCATCTGTAAAAAAAAGAAATAAAATAACAATTAGTGTTTATTGAATACACTTATATAACTCTTCAAATTTATAAGTATAATACTAATTATGTAGTCGGACATTGTATTGACTAGCCATCAGCTTTACCAACCGTGCTTTTCTTTTTTCTTTTTTTGGATCAGCAAAATGAAGACAATTTTATTGATGATAACCAGAATGCATACTGATAATACATCAAAGTGATGGGTACAATTTGCATTATAGCAACACAATTCAATCCCAAATAGATTGGCACCAAAATATATGCCCAATCATGTGCAAACACACCATCGGGGGTTGGTGGGCTGCCAACAAAACATAAAGAGTAAAGCATCTCATACCAGTACAACTAAGTAGAAATAAAAATAAAAACAACAGATGCTCTGAAACAGACCACAAAAATAATCATATCATGCCACATGTACAGACCTGCAGGACAATAACGAAGAGAGGGCAACAAGTATTAGTAGCTAAATGAAACAGAGCACAACAGTGATGGAGTGATTAGGAGGGTTTGGACAGCTTCATTTAATGTAACCTTTCACCTTGTTATTCTTAAGTCCATCCAAACAAAACAAAAAACCATTAATTGAGAACTTCACCCATGTTGCCACTTTGATCCTTATACTTTCCACAAGCACAAGCTCAGCCAAAACAGGTTCTTTGTTATTGGAAAATTTTCCATTTCTTGAAATCCAGAGAGTCCAAAGGACTGCAAGTGGAATTGCTTCCCAGATTAGTTTTCTCAAATGCTTAACTTGCGACCATACCACCAAAGTAACAAATCTGACACTAACTCAGGTGGTTGTTTTATAATTTCACCCCTAAACGACCCATTTTCGGTTAATTGTTCACATTTTTTTCTCTAATTCTCCAATGGTATATCCTATAGACGCGCCTTCGGCTTTCACAAGTTTGATTATAGTTAGGTGAAGTGCCTATGCTATTTCTTTGGCTATTTGGTGGCTGGTTTAAAATTTTGCCCCCAAACGGCTCATTTTCGGTTATATTTTCACATTTTTTGTGCTAATTCTCTATCCATACGTCCTATAGACGTGCCATCGACTCTCGCAAGTTTGATTATAGTTAGGTGAGGTGTCCATTATGTTTCTTGTGCTGTTTGGTGGTTGCTTTACAATTTTTCCCCCAAATGACTCGTTTTCGATTACATTTTCACATTTTCTATGCTAATTCTCTATCCACACATCCTATAGACATGCCGTCGGCTCTCACAAGTTTGATTATAGTTAGGTGAGGTGTCTAGGTTGTTTCTTGGGTTGTCTGGTGGCTGCTTTAAAAAGTTTGCCCCTAAACGGCTCATTTTCAACTATATTTTCATATTTTCTGCGTTAATTCTCTATCCGTACATCCTATAGACACGTCATTAACTCTCCAAAGTTTGATTATAGTTAGGTGAGGTGTCGATGTAATTTCTTGGGCTGTTTGGTGACTGGTTCATAATTTTGCTACCAAATGGCTCGTTTTCAATTACATTTTCCATTTTTTTGTGCGAGCTCTGTAATCATACGTCCTATCAACATACGTTAGCTCTCCCAAGTTTACAAAGGCTTAGGCAAGGTGCTTGTGCCATTCATTGGGCTGTTTGGTGACTGTTTCATAATTTTTTCCTCCAATAACCCGTTTTTAGTTAAGTTTTCACGTTTTCTGCTCTAATTCTCTAAGCATATGTCTTATTAACATACCGTTAGCTCTCCCATGTCGTTCCTTCAACTATTTGGTGGCTGTTTTATAATTTCCCCCTCCTCCAAATCATCTGTACCAAATAGACGGTCCTCCACGACAGTGCTTTAAGTACTGTGACATCATGGATTGTATATTTGCAATATGTTGTCCCTGCTCTTCCATCTTCTTCTCGCTTTGCTCACGGGCAAGTCGCTGCTCCCCAAACTCCTTTCTATTTTGGTAGTAGCCACAAATTTTATTAGAACCAAACAAACAAATATAAAAGTCAAAGCCACTATAAGGAAACAAATAGAAAAGGACAACTATTATAGATTATATAAAACACACAGTTTATATGTATATATAGAGCTTGTTTGTTTTCAGAGATAAATTGGTTGGGATTGTTAGTAGAGAGATTATTAGTGAGGAGACTATTAGTGAGGAGACTAAGAAAAATTGTGCTTGTTTGATAACCAATGAACTAGCAATAGTTCATATTTGTTTTGAGAGATAAGAGTAAGATTAACCATGTAAAATTCCATAAATACCCTTGTAGCATTACTATCAAATTTGGGCTTATACCGACTAATAAATGCATTACATATTTTAATATTAAAAAAATATTTTATAAATATTAAAATTATATTTCACAAATATATATTTTTTTGGTACTATTTTTTTTAATATAATATTTTTTGGTATAAATATTATTATACTATTATATTTTTATATTAAAAATTATTTTTATATTAAATTATTTTATATAAAGAATGGTGGAGTAAAAAATGATGGAATAATTATAATAAAAAAAATGATAGAGAAAATACTATACTAATAAAGTAGAGTAAATCAATTAGGTAGGATAATAGAGAGCAAAATAGTAAATCATCCTCTAATCCCAATGGATTGTTTTTCTAATGCCATCTCTCACAGGGGACTACGAATCCCATCCATAGAGACTTATCATAGTCCCAATGTATTGTGAATCTCCTTCTCTATTTTGCAAACAAACACAATATTAATAGATCCCTCATCCATTTTAATCCAATCTTATCCTTTATAACCCAAAACAAACGAACCCATAAAGTGTTTCAACTTTTTGCAAGGTTAGAGGAAAAAATAATTAAATATTATGTATCTGCAAAGTAAAATACAATTTGACTCATAAATACATAACTATGACCCCATAACTAGAACATGGAATTACAAAAAGATGGCATCACCATCTAAGCAGTGCCAATTCATAAACCAATGAGCAAGTAGAAAGGTTTTTAACTATTAGATTTATAAATTCTCATCATATTACCAATCAGTGTGTTTAATTTCAATTTTTTAAATTTAATTTTTTATTTTCTTATTTTAGAGATTATTTTTTAAATTTTATGTAATTTTTTTACTTTTTTAGATCACCTTACTTAAATGTATCTAAATAGTAAAATATTTGTGAAAAAATATTTTAAAAAATTAATAAATACACAAATATACAAAAAATGTATTGAATTTTTATTTTTCTTTGTTTGTATTTTTTGGTATTTAGTGTATTTTCTAAATATTTTTTTACAAATATTATACTATTTAAGTGTATTTATATTAGGTGTGTCTAAAAAATTTTTAAAAAAAAAATTGCTTAAAATGTTAACAAAATTCATTGAAAACTTTAAAATACGGAAAATAAAAAAATAAAATTTTCTAAAAACTGTTTTATAAAAACCAGAACCAAACAAGCTGAATAATTTCTACAATCCAGATGATTTCCTATATGCACTTTAACTACTAGCCACAACCAATTGAATAATTTACAGAGAATCACAAAAATTATGAAATATATATATATATATATATGAACATTCAAAAAAATTGCTTATGTTAGTTATTGTAAACCATGGTTTTTTCAGAGCTCATGTTGTAAAAGGAAGGCTTTGGAATGGGGGAATACATGTTTTCTAAGAATGCCATTTGTGTCTATGAATCGCAAAAACCCAAAAAAAAAATTGATGCAATTTTGAAATTCAAACTCCCACCCAATACCTACATCACCAAATTCAAATGGCCTTCTAGGAATTTGATCAAACAGTTGATGTGCAATTTTTTGAAACAGTATTTCCAATCTCAACACTCCCTCCCAACCCACAAGAGAGAGAGAGAGAGAGAAAGAGAACCAAACCCAATTTTGAGAGAGCAGTGAGTGCTGGAGCAATTTGTGCTCCAATGGTGGGTATGAGTGTACTATCCCACAATTTCCTCAACAAATTCGAAGCAACAAAGTCCACATAGGGATATAGTACTCTGGCGTTGGTTAACTGCTTCGGGAACAGCCATGGTTGGTTCCAAATAGAAGGACGATTGCTAACAAATTTGATCTTCAATTCTTAAACCATAAACTCTAATTTTATCAATTTTTTTCTCCTTAAAATATACTCAAATTTATTCCAAAAATCTTTACCGCACAGTTTCTTTGAGGTCTTTCAACAAACATCTTGGTGGCATACTAGAGTTCATTAAAAAACCATTTAACAGACTAATAAAAATCATGATAACAATGAAGAAAAGAAAAGAAAAAATCACAATTGGGTCAGATTAATAAATAAAACAATAAAAAACAGAACTCTTAAAATAAAATTCTAATCAAAGGGTATCAAAGATTACAGTAAAAGTGCAAACCAAGCATCAAACTTGTACAGAACAATACAAAAAAGCAAGATCAACCTAATTCATAAAACTATGAGCAGATTAATGGGTAGAAATTAAAATCATAAGAAATTCAGATTACGGTGTTCAAAGTTGCACCATTTGTGGCTATTATGGGTGATTTTTGTGCAGGTATTTGATCACCAATATCCCGCAACAACTTAGGGCTCATCAATTGAGAGAGAGAGAGAGAGAGAGAGAAACTAGGCTGGGTTTGTTGTTGCAGAGGGACGGAGCAAAACAATGGAAATGGCAATAGATGAAGGCAAACGGTGAAGAAGTAAGAGCATCGTGTGCGATGTGAGAGAGTGAGCGACTCAATATGGGAGAGAGGGAGAGAGATAATCAATCGTGTGTTGGGTAGAGAGGGAACCAAGGAAAATATCACATTTTGGCAACCAAAGGGTTTGTTGCAAGAGAGGGTTTATAAATAAACCTTTGTAGTTTTAATAAGATGGAGATGGAGATGGAGATGGAGATGGAGATGTGGAGAGAGAGAGAGATAGAGATTTGAAAGTGAAAATGAGAGACGCGAGAAAAAGAAATCATAGGCGCCAAATGGTTTGAGGAAATTTGGAAAAATTGGGGATTTTTGACTATTTTTGAGAATGTATATTGATCACACTATATTGATCACACTATGGGATTTTATTTTATTTTTGTTAAAATATTTTTTTTTTTTTTGTAGTTAATGCAATTTTTTTTCTTTTCATTTTTCATTTTTTTTTAGTTTCTAAAATTGAAAATTTATTTGTTTCATTTTTATTTTAATGAAATTTTTTTTTTATTTGGTAAAAGTAGGGGTAATATTTTAATGAAAATTTTTTTTTGTTAAAATAAAGTTAATTTTTTGTAGTCAATGAAAATATTTTTTTGCGGTCCACTTTTTTTGGTTACTAAAAATCAGGAACTAATTTTTTGTGGTAGAGGAGAGGAAGCATTAGTGGTGAAGGTGGTAGATAATAGGTGATGGTGGTGGTGGCGGCGATGACGAAGGAGATTAGTGGTGAAATTGTGGTATTGGTAGAGAAGATGAAGTGGCGATGGTGGAAGAGAGGTAATGGTAGCAGTAGTGGTAGTAGTAGTGGTGGTGGTAGTGGTGGTGGTGGTAGTAGAGTTGTGGCGATGGTGGTAATAATGTTAGTTGTCGAGGTGGAGTGGCAACAGTGGTGGTAGTGGAATGGCATTTGCAGTAGTGGTGAATGTAGTAGACGAGATGGGTGGTGAGAGAGAGGGGTAAGTGTGAGACAAATAGAGAAGAGAGATAGAGAGAGAGAGAGAGAGAAAGTGGTCGCTAAAAGTGTATTTTCTTGTAGTAGATCGATAAATTGAAATTTAATTATTTAAAATTAAAAAAATTAGAAATTTTAGTTTGAGATATTGAAGCACCCACAAGACTTGTGGTTAGAAACCCCATTTTACTTATATAATATATATATATATATAGATAGATTTAATAAGAATTTTTATAAAAATAATTTAACAATCTCATCACTAGCCATAGTGTATGTGAGAAGTTGAAAAAGGTGTAGGAGTAGATATAGGAGAAGTCAAAAAGTGGGTTAAGAGAAGTCAATAAATGCTAAGCTTTTTTTTTAAATAAATAAATCAAGAAATTTAGATTGGGATATTGGAGCTCCCACAGGGCTTGGGGTTAGAAACCCCATTTTCCTTAATATATAGAAGATATAGATAGATAGATAGATAGATAGATAGATTTAATAAAAATTTATGTCTGTTTTAGATATTTTGGATGAGATATAGATAGATAGATATAGATATGGCACATACCATTTATATGACACAAGGACCAAAGTACCGGGACAACTGCTGCAATTTTCCCTCATCTAAATTAAAGAGATTTAAAAAGTAAAAAAACAAAGAAAAAAAATTATAATATTAAAAAATGTTCACTAAAAAAATATTGATTAAAAATTACAAATTAATTATTGAAAACTTCATACTAAACAAGGTAATATTTTCTATTAATTTTGAAAATTAAAAAATTATTATTAATTTTTCCTCTATTTTTTTTTCTCACAAAAAAATAGCTACATTAATTATCTCTTTTTTTTCTTTTTTTGTGGAGAGGGGTTTTGACCTGCGATTTTTCTAAAATGGATGTTTCTAGACGAAAAGAGTAGAGTTGGTTCGGATAATAAGAAAAAGTGTTTTTGCAAGAGGCGCCTTCACTATGAGAAATAATAGTCGGTCTTGCATAGGGTGCCTTCTTGGATAATAGCTTCAATACTGGCATGCATGAAGGGCTTAAGTGTGAGATATATGAGAGTGGCTTTAGTGCGAAAATAGAAGAAATGGTTTATAATGTGTCTTCTTGCTTCACGACTTCAATACTTCTAAGAGAGGAATAGGCTCAAGTGCGAGAGAGAAATGAGGGTTTGTAGGAAGTGTCTTCTTAGGTCACGACTTGAGTGTCCGTGCACATGAAAATGAGTGATAAGGGTCAGAGTGTGTCTCTTGGGATCACGGTTTCAGTGCTCTGAAACACAAAACCATAGCATATTAATAAAGAGAAATAATTAGTG